TCAACATCTGAGAGTATCTTGCGTAAACAGCTATTGATAAATACTTGTACCTTCTTGATGGTGGTTGTTGTAGTTCTCCAAGTTTCAGCTCCATACAGTAGAACTGACCGTTCTGATGTTCGTATTGAAGATTTTGACTTTGATATTGGTTGAAAGTTGATTTGAGTTCCATATGTTCTTCAACTGAAGGAATGCTGCCCTTGCTTTGCCAGTCATCGCCTTTACGTCTGCATCTGATCCTCCTTGTTCATCGATGATGCTTCCCAGGTATGTGGAGGATTCTACATCTTCCAGTGCTTCTCCATCATGTGTGACTGGATTGGTGTTCTCCGTGTTGTATTTGAGGACCTTGTTTTTCCCTTCGTGTATGTTGAGACCTACTGATGCAGAGACTGCTGCTACACTGGCTGTCTTTATCTGCATTTGTTCGTGTGTATGCGATAGGAGGGCTAGATCATCTGCGAAGTCCCAATCGTCTAGTTGGTTCTGAGCTGTCCATTGTATTCCGTGTTTTCCCTCAGATGTTGAGGTTTTCATAACCCAGTAGACCACCAGAAGAAAGAGGAAGGTGGAGAGTAGACAGCCTTGTCTTACTTCGGTCCTTACTTAGAATGCGTCTGTCAGCTGTCCTCCATGCACTACTTTGCACCGTACTCCGTCGTATGAGTTCCGGAACTCCGTAGTGTCGAAGAAGTTTCCATACATCATACTGTCGGAAATACTTTATTAAGTCGTTGTTAACTTTCTGGCCAACAATCATGCACACACTTGACGATTTGCTGGAGTTAGAGCATGATCTTGTTCCATATTATACATTGTCGGCAACGGATGATCACATCCGACACAAATACGTTTACTTGTGCTTAAAATTATTTTACACCAATAATAGAACCATTGTCGAATGGTTGATTTGAGTCAATTGGTCTTGATATGCTAAAGTATTTGAAAGGGTTGGAATTTCCCGATTGATGAGTTTAGCTAAAGTAAATAATTAGTCTTTATTGGAATACATACAGTCTGAGCAGGTCATCTTGATATCAAAATTGAATCACAAGTTTTCATCAAAGTTGGATTGTGACTAGCAGTAAAATTTAAGATACAGGTTTCATCCATTTTAGCGCTGGTCTGGCGGATGTTTCTGAATCCCAGTGTGAAATTTCTCACAGATATTAGAATCCAATACCTTTCTCTTAAAATAACAACGCGTTATCGATTGAACTATTAAGTTCAGACAGACACTAGTTTGTGCTACTGGTATGGTTTTCATTTTAAAAAGTTTATATATTCACGTAGTTAATATAAGTTGCTAATAACAAATCACATAGTTCATTGGTTCTAAGTGCTTAATGTCATTTTTACATAAGAATTCAATCTAGTACTACACCATTACAAGAAGTGTAATTGGGCATGTACGTAAGTACATTGTTTGGAGAGTTTTTGTTAGGGACGTTAGATCGCCAGAACTCACTTGAAAAAAGATTTAATTTTGTAATTTTATTTTGAAATTTTGAATTTCTTTGTTTTCGCACCAAAAGCACTCTTTTCACCTTCATGTCGTATTTCGCACTTGGGAGAATCTTAAATGCTATTGGTTCGTTGTGTCTTTTAGTATGGTATTTTGTAACTCTCCCCAAGAACGGTTTTGTGTTGTATGTATACGTTTTGATTTGTGTCTGTTGTTATCGTTCATGCTTCTAGCTTTTTGTAGAATATACTTCCTCATTCTGAGCTTAAACTTCTTCCTCTAGTTAGTGGGACTGAGACGCATCGAATAGCTAGCTTATTGGTGTTTGGTCGCCGAGTCTTTGTTCCGTTAGCAGATTACGTGAACTCGTAACCGCTTCAAACCTAGCAGTTTTATGACGATGGGTATGGTTGTGAGTATTTCCATTGATAAGGAGGCCTATACTAAGACAAAAGATATCTGTAATGTTCTCTAATTTTCAGCGGTACCTCAATCGATATCAATCTGTAATGAGTACACTCTATAAATATGTACTCAATAATTAAATACATTTATTCAGTGATTACTGATTGTTAGCAGTCGATGTTTGCGATCTAATTCAAGTTGAAAATAGTTTAGGTACAGTACATTATAAATTGAAAAGAATAATCAGCTTTGTACCATTTGTAGTTCTTGTATATAATTATTGATATTTGTACAGATATTATGATGGTATGATGCAAAATATTATTCTGTACTAAATTTCACCAGCACATTTAAAATTATGGTAATGCTATTGAAACATCACAAGAAAACCCTCAAACAGTACACTTTAAATCACTTGGACAAACTTTTATACAAGACTCATTAGTCATATCAAGTGTCGAGGTGAGACTATATTTTATGAACGAACTTTAAGCGACGCTAATGTGATTTTGAGTGTCCACTTAATAACTAGGATCAAATGAGGGTTATAAACCAGTGTGAGGAATTAAAATTATGATTTACGGTTGATGGTTAGGGTTAGGAATTAGATTTAAGGTTTTTATTACGAATTAACATCAGCTATAATTCCAAAACTCTATTTAGCCAAATGGATGAATGAATTTCGCGCCAAAATTCGAGTCCTGTTATCTTATACGTGATTGGTTTGTCCATAAATTATAGTCTCACCAGTGTCAAAATATAAACAACAGCTAGTGTTTAAAAACTGTTTACAAACAGTTACAAATAGTTTTGAATTATTTGCGTCAGCACTTTGTCTTGCCTGTATACATGTGTCTAAACTAAACTACTATGTACCCATAACCAGTACGAACTAGTTTATTTGACATGGAACTTATAATTCTTTTGGTTTTATGGACTGAAGAACAAACGTCAATGTATGTGGGAAGGAAATGTTATCATTAGATTCTTCTTCTTTCTTCACAAATGTTCAACCAATAGAATAACCTGCTTCTTATGAGATTGTTGGCAACAATATCCCTTCAACGTGCGACGTAGATTTATTAATGATTTCAATGAACAAAGGCTTACAGTTGTAAAAAGATTACTAGCGAACCATCTTCTAAAAGACCGTTTTGTTAAGGAATTATTAATTAACTTCCTTTTAAGTAGTGATAATTGGATGATACATTCATCATATTTGATGACAACAGTGATATTAACAATAATATTACATTAGTTCAGTAAATCTCTCCTGTCGATTACTTTGATAATGAAGTGAATGTTGAACTGAAAATTTCCTTTCCTTGATGTAATACTGAAATGAAGATAGAATAGATCTCTACAAAGATCGATATAAGCAATCCAACTTGGAATAGCTAGTATATGAACTTTTAGCGTTAAATGGCACTAATTAGGAAGATAAACTTAACCCATTCCCTATCCTCAAGAACTAGACAAATGTGAATAAGGGCGAAATTGATGGGCAATCGAATAAAATTCGTCAAATACTAATGAAGAATGATTTGTCACCCCTGCTTCGGTTTGGGTACCCGGGCAGTATCGCAGCCCTCACACATATCAAATGAGATCTGTGTGGCGAATATGTATTTGGTGCCTCCTTATACCAATATCTATGTGTTAAAATAAATAAATAAAATAAATATCACCCCTTAAGTTCATTAAAAACAGTCTGAAACCAAAGGAATAAGCTAAAGTACCCTAACAGTTCAGTTAAAAATATAAGTCATGAACATCAAATTCAAAATGAACATGATGGTGCATATACTGAAGTGTAGACTATCAATATTTCTGAGTAAAACCAATTCATCAGCTCCCTGAGTCGTTTTCTCTTGTAAGTATTTCATATGGAGCAAGTTATATTGCTCATAAAAAACAAGCAGTTACCAAACACATATCTCAACACTACTCCTATCGGTTTTCTAAAGGGAAATGTAAGTTAATCGACTCCACGATCCTTGAACATATGATCAACTCCAGGTACTTTCTATCACAAAAATCATTTTTTATGAGTATCCACAAGGTTAAATTCCCTTTAAATTTTACTAATTATTACCATTTATTATCTTATTCTTCGCCTTATTTCCCTTCTCATTACTTCTATAAAATATTATTATTTTTTAATTGTCTACAAGACTATTACATAACTCTTAGTCAATATATGGACATATTTGATAGTTTCTCATTCATTTCTTAAAGGATCCAACACTTCACTATTTTATTGTACATAACCATATGTGAACTTAATTTTCAATTCAACTGTACAGTTTACCTAAATGACAATGTCAAAAAGAAAGTTCTCTTCGTTGAACTGTCTTCATATTTTCGAACGATTCACAGACATTTTTCCATTGTTTTACAATTAGGATAGCGATTTAACATATACACATATGCACTAAAATTGTGAAATATGGAATCATATAGACTGAAACACTTTACGAGATACACTTACTGTTAACTGATGATGATAATAACATCAATGAATCCATACAATCAAATGAATTCAATACATCTGATTAATATCATAAGTGACAAATCAAACAAACTATGTATGATTTTTGTCGTATTTAGGACTCGTCAGCTGGATGTACCTGTATCTCAGAGTTAATGTGCACTCTGGGACTCGAACTCAGTACCGTTCGCTTCAAACGCCATCGCGTTATCCATTGCACACAGTATGTAGATATGCCAATAACAGATTGATCAATTACAGTTCGTAACATCAATGAGAAGATTGAAGTAAACAATTTAAAGTGAATTTAAGCTTCACCCCATTACACAAACAAGTGACTATCAGGACTCCATAGCTAAGTGGATAACGCGATGGTGTTTGAAGCGAATGGTACTAGGTTCGAGTCTCAGAGTGAACATCGACTCTGAGATGTAGGTACATCTATCTGACGAGTCCCAACTTGGACGAAACGCGCATCAAACTGGATTCCACTGCTAACCACTATCCATCTATGAATATAATGCTTGTTAATTAAGGATATATCAAGGTAATACGCACAGTATACACATATGCCAACATGAGACTAATCAATCGCAGTGCTAAAGATCAATAAGAAGATTCAAGTAAAATAATACCAAGTGAATTGATGTATGATTTTCTTTTCTTTTATATATATATATAGAAATTATTTATAAACTATAATAATGAAGAAGAGGAAATAATTTCATACGGTGGCGGTGGTCCATATTCATGATAATGTGATAATGGAGTAATATGAAATCGGATACATCGATCTTTGATATATTTACGATATAATTGTTTGAGTGCATTTTTTAAATCTTCTGTATTTGTAATTTGATACATATTATGATTATCTATAAAATAAATAAAATGATTATATAATTAGTTAATTGATATATCAGTTAAATTACATTTATTGTTCACATGGAGATTATTTTGATCCATAAAAAAAATGAAATACTTAGATGATATAAAATCAATAAATCACATCATTCATCTTGACTGTCTATGCTAATTGATTTAACTGTCTTAATCACATATGGAGTATTGATTTCTGTGATCATTTCAGTTACGTACAATTAATGATTATGAGATGATACAAAATAGAGTTTACTGTTGATATTGATAGGAATTATGAAATATGCTGATAATAAATATATATAGATAGGTTAATTATTTTGGCTGGATACTATCAGCAATAATCTATTATGTAAGAGAACAAACTAGCTTCCAGCTTATGAGAAAATTAGCAAGAGACAATGGAAATGGATAAAACATATATTACAGAAATCACCAAATTACGCTAACACGGAATCTTGAAAGGAAACGGAAAAGTATAAGACCGAACAATACACTTCGCCGAGAAATGAAAATAGACATGAAAAGAATAAATAGAAATTGGAAAGAACTGTTAAAGGATTGCCTAGGACAGAGTTGAAAGTTGAATGCTTGTGGGCAACTTATACTCTTTCACAAGGAATAACAGGAGTAAGTAAGTAAGTAAGTAAACCTCATTATTCTTTGAATTAAAATTTGGTATGAATCAACCGTTCATAATTTACACAGATTCAATAAAATTAGAAAAATTTTATTTATTTTCTATAATAATGACAATGAAGTCAACAAATGGCTATAATAATTTCAATTATTATCCTACAGTAGGACGAAACGGCCATTCAGTGCTTCCAGGTTTTCCATGATGGTCTAGCTTCAATTGACTCATGCGTAAAAAATCACAGTTAAAACTCATTGATATAATTCAGAAGAGAATTCTTAATGAAATAGAAGGTCAGCATTAATCACAAATTATTAACTTAAATTCTAATGTCATTTAGTAATATGAAATAGTGTTGCATGGTAACAAGTATGAAAAGAGACAAAATGAAGTCGTCGGAATTCATTGAAGTACTTGATAAAGCAGTCCAAATTTTAAATGATTCTTTTAATGTCCAGTTGATTAAGCATAGAATATATTCAACAGATATTTTTATTATCTAAAAGTTACAATACAGTACATAGAAATCATAATTAAGATTATTAACCGATCAATGTTTGACAATCATTGAAAACATAGAAGTACCGGTTGGCCGTTTCGTTCTGATATAAGACTCCTCAGCAGTGCACATTCACGATTGAACACTCGAGACTCGAGTCCAGGACTTTAAGTTTAACACGTGAACGCTTAACCTTTAGACTAATGACTTACAAAACACCTATATTTTTAGAATCTATTCTTCTTGAGATTAGTAAGTGGGATGTATAATCGAGGTTGTAAAGAGTGCACGAATTTATAATATTAGCTACCTTGATTTCGTTATTACGTTCACAGTTATTACTATTTAGATATTCTTAATAAATGTAGTCATTTTAAGAAATAAAATTTCGTGGTTTGATAATATGAAAAATTATTCATGATTCATGACCAATTAGATTAACATCACCATGATAGAAAAATGAAATAATCGGTGGGACTATAATTTGTAGACGGCTTTCGAGCGACGCTAAAGAGTTTTACACTATCAGTCTATCCCTATTGAATAGAACATAACAATATCATCATCGAAAAATAACAATTGTAATTGCATGTCAACATTAAAAGTAACGTAATGATAATAGGGAATATTTACTATGGTGTATTGTAATTATGTTTACAGTTATGAGTAGTAAGTGACACCAGTCGGAAGTGAAATGTCTGAAAGTAGAAGATTGAAAAGATTGAAATGAAGATAAAGAAAAAGGAAACTGAAAGCAATTGAGATAACAACAGAATTAAATGAATAATGAAGTATCTAAAGGACAATTCAAAGAAAATGTGCAAATGATGTATTGACTGTATGATTTTCACATTTTATTAAACCACTGTGTGATTTGTGTACTAAACAGTGAATTTTATTTTATTATTTAAATATATAAACATTGGTACAAGGAGGCACCAAATAGATATGCGTCACATAAGTCATCCGATTTGTGTGAGGGCTGTGATACTGCCCGGGTGCCCAAACCGGAGCAAGTGGTTTTCTTAAGAGGCCACGCCCGGAGCTGTCAACATTAAGGTCTGATCCACAAGGCAGTGGAGCAACGTCAGGCGATGCAGTCCCATGGTGGCCGGTGACCAACGATTGGTTCATACTCCATACGCCACTGGAGCTCATGTGCACTATTGGTTTAGAAGCAGGGTTTTCCAATACCCCTAGGTGGATCCTCCATATCCACCAACCCGATTAAAGCACCAAACATTCAATTTTCGTCCTCTGAATTTCGTATACAACACTCTTATTACGATAAGGCAGTGAGTAAGACTTCCCTGTCAGTGGCTCTATGCACGTGGTCATGTGAGAGCATTTCGCGCTCGCGCGCGAGAGAGAGAGCTAACTCTCCCCACTCTCGGCCTTACCAGAGCATTTAGAAGCATTCCTTTCAATACTACTGTCTAAAGTATGTATCATTAATCAAATAAACTCAAACTAAACATTATTAATATTTACACACCATAAACAAACCAGCTTCCTGCTAAGGAGGAAATTAGGAAAAGACAATGAAAATGGATAGAACATACATTACTCAAATCATCAAATTGCATCACGAGGTAAGTCCTAACATGGAATCCTGAATGGAAGCAATAAAAGATGAAGACCAAAGAACACATTACGTCGAAAAATAGAATCAAATATGAAAAGGATGAATAACAACTGGAAAGCATTGCCCAGGACAAAATTGAATGAACAATGCTAATGAGTGACTTATGCTCCTTCATAAGGTGTAACAGACATAAATAAGTAAATAAGTATATAAGTAATAAATGTCATTTTTTAACAAAAAACAACAACAACAACAACAACTTAAACTTACAATTCCATTGAATTATATAATCTTTATATTTGAAATTATTTAATTCATGTAATTTCTTTAAAATATCATTATATTCTAATATATGAGTAAGTTTTTGTAATTTCCATATAAATATAATTTGTGCATCATGATTATATTCTTTTTGAATTAATTTGAATATAACCATTTAATGAAACTAAAAGAAGGAGTATATTATTATCTTTACTATATATATATATATAATATATATTAGTATAGTCTAGTTGCTAAGAAGGAAACAAATGATATTACCATATACTATATATACTATATATACTATATATATAATTCTATTTATTTATTGATTATTATCATTTAATTAAAATGATCAATTTCTGTTCATTAATTAAACCAATAATATTGGCTTCTAAAAGCATCTTATATCATTCACGTGTATTAAATCATATGCTTCTAAATGATAATTGAATGTCTAGAAGAGTAATATCTATTGAATAGTTTTATATCTATTTTTTTCTTCTTTTTTTTCTTTTTTCTTCTTCTCTCATTCTTAATATACTGATACAGAGAGAGAGAGAGAGAATATGATTTCATTTTTTTTTTTATATGTATGTTGTTGGTATGTTTATGTTTTGTTTTATTTTTGTTCTTTTTTTTGTTGAATGTATATTTATGTCATGGATACTGTGAATTATAAATAATGTGTACTTTCGATTTGAATTATAATGAAAACATTCTTTATAGTTTCTGTTATGATACTGAATATTTTCTTTTTGTTTTCTTTCTTTTTGTGTTTTTTTTTCTAATTCAGGATGTGAAATTTTAGAAGTGTTTTATACTTGAAGTTGATTTATTTCATTATGGATATTTCACTATCATGTTAGATACTTTAATGAAAAAGGTATATACTGATAATGGGTGTTTAGAAAGATCATGCAAAAAAAAAACATGACAACTAAACAAAAAACGATTCGCATAACTATCGTAACTAATGATTGAAGATTCCAGATGATATAGTTCAGAATCGATCATAATGGTATAGATGTATACACTCTAGGTCTTCCATTAAACTATGAGATTAAAATAGCTTTATATCTTTGTTTTTATCAATTAATTGTTTCTTCCTGTACTATATCCTTATATGAAATCTTTCTTTTATATATTACCACCATTGAATTAACTACTTCGATGAATTCGGTTGTGCTAATGAGGTATGGTAACTTGAACCGATGAATATATGTATCTGGTCCTACGTTGTAGCTGATTGAGTGACTGAATGGTTCGTAGAATATAACACCTACAAAATCAATGATTAAACGTGATTATTGAAGGTCACTTACAAGGTATTTATTTAACTATTTTTGTGTAACTTTCGACATTTACTAATACATACTTATAAATAAATAATATATTTGATGACAATACTATTTACCCTTGGATAAATTTTGCTTTGGTTATTTGATTATCCTCTGAAGAAGTGGCTTACACTAAATCATGAAACGACAGTAAATCTGATTTCTATACTCAGTGGGATATTACAAATATATTATTTTTTAATTATAACAATTTACCCAATGCTTAATATATTCGAAATGACCAAGTCGAACCTTGGTAATGATATCTATATTACATAGTTACTTGAGTATATCAATCAACCTTAAAAGGAGCAAACGATATCTACATGATTACTTACTTACTTACTTACTTACGCCTATTACTCCTCGTGAAGGAGCATAGGCCGCTCACCAGCATTATCCATCCAAGTTAGGGCTTGCCTCGTGATGCAGTTTGTTGATTTGCGTAATGTATGTCCTATCCATTTCCATCGTCTTTTCCTAATTTTCTCTTCAGCTCAAAGCTGGTTTGTTCTCTCCAACAGAAGGCTGTTATTGATAGTATCCGTCCAATGGATGTTGAGTTTCTTGCGTAAACAGCTATTGATAAATACATGTACCTTCTTGATGGTGGTTGTTGTAGTTCTCCAAGTTTCAGCTCCATACAGTAGAACTGACTGTTTTGACGTTCGTATCAAAGATTTTGACTTTGATATTGGTTGAAAGTTGATTTGAGTTCCATATGTTCTTCAACTGAAGGAATGCGATCCTTGCTTTGCCAATCATCGCCTTTACATCTGCATCTGATCCTCCTTGTTCATCGATTATGCTTCCCAGGTATGTGGAGGATTCTAAATGTTCCAGTGCTTCTCCATCATGTGTGACTGGATTGATGTTCTCCGTGTTGCATTTGAGGACCTTGTTTTTCCCTTCGTGTATGTTGAGACCTACTGATGCAGAGACTGCTGCTACACTGGCTGTCTTTATTTGCATTTGTTCATGTGTATGCGATAGGAGGGCTAGATCATCTGCGAAGTCCCAATCGTCTAATTGGTTCTGAGCTGTCCATTGTATTCCGTGTTTTCCCTCAGATGTTGAGGTCTTCATAATCCAGTCGACCACCAGAAGAAAGAGGAAGTTGGAGAGTAGACAGCCTTGTCTTACTTCGGTCCTTACTTGGAATGCGTCTGTCAGCTGTCCTTCACGCTAACCAGAAAAAATGATCCACACGATATCACATCACAAATAATATAATGTATTTCTTAGTAGAGACATTGTCTTAAATAATGTCCTTAGGAATCAATTAGTTAACAATAAATTTGAAGGCTTAAATATATATACTGAAACTTAGTAATTAGTGGGCTTTTATCCTGTACAGTTATGTAGTTATTTTTGATAATGTTTTTACCACTGCTATTAATGAAGGCTTGATGTGAACAGAGAAATAAAGGAGTCATGACAATCAACGAAAGCTATTTTGGGGACGTTATTTCACTTAACTTGAAGATTTTAAAACACTAACATTTAGTTTTGTCCCTAGTTTATTCTATAAACCATAAGCTTTCGTCCGATGTATAATTCATTGTCATAGCCTTTTCTGTTCCAAATCTATTGTAATTTAAACATAACCTTTTGTACTCTATTTTTCTACTCATAATTGTATTTATCTAGTTGTTTTTTCGTTTTGGTCATGTTAGTCATCTCTTTATTCATGTATTTTTTTTACACTAATCGGAATTGGGGGATCTGGAATAAATCGAGTAGTGTTCCAGTTGAATCACCTTCTCTCACATGTCAATCAATCAGGTGATAGAATAGTGTTCATCTCTCTATCAAAGATCATTAGTTTCAATTCGGAGTCACGCATTTCTAGTCTCATGGTTAAACCAGTTAGCCTATCATTTCAAGGCCTTAACCTATATCGATACATTTTCTCTTCAGTATATTACTGAGTAGACAAATCAAGGACATAACATGGCTAATGCCAAATTAAATTAAAGAAATGTTGTGGATATACCCATGGATTTCGATTTGGGACACTTTTATTGGAAGAACCTAGTAGTACCTTGATGATGAAAGTTTGTTACTATATTAACTAAACTGAAAGTACCATAATTAATTAAATTAAAATGACTTGACATTTCGAACGAAAACCTATTAGATTTGTACATTATAAAAATGATGAAAAAAAATGGTAGGACTATAATTTATGGACGAACTAACCAAATTTCAGTTAGCTCCTGTTGGATTTTTGCGCAAAATTCACTCAACAATTATAGTTGGAGACAGTTCATGATCAAAACCCTGACTTTGATTCTTTACTTTACTTTGCAACACCGAGTTTTATTCATAATTATTTACACTAATTCACGGATCTACGTTGGGCATAATAAGCGATTAAAGTTACTCGTAGGCAATTAGAACTGCTTACAGGTTGTTCTAAGGTTACTATCAATCTCAAGCCCGCGTAAAAGGAGGAGGGTTGGGAGTGGGGTCAGCATCCCAATCTTGTAGATACATTCTTGCTAAAAAAACGCTAATCATATTGAACGAATTAAATTATTTAAACTTTGTCCTTCGAGTTAAAGAATCTCGATTTAAAAGAATTGTGACGCCTCATGGTAAAAGCCGTTATTTTTCGGAAGTCACGAAGCCAATGCCATTTCTAACAACAAGAGCAATAATTTACATAGGTACATAGGATGTCCGTACAATGTGAGACGTCGAGAAGACCAACTCACCAATGATAGCATGATAGAAGACGTGAGAACAACGTGAGGAGCTGATATAGCTTCAGATCATTACCTGGTGGTGGCCAAGATGAAACTGAAGCTAAAGAAACACTGGACAATCGAACAAACAGCATTACAAAGGTTTAGTGCAGCCTTCCTCAAACATACCGACAAAGTCGATGAATTCAAGGTAACTCTCAACGACAGGTTCCAAGCCTTACATGATCTACTGAGAGAAGAAACTACGATGACAAGCAACTGGAAAGGTATCAAAGAAGCACTTATAGTAATTTTCTTCATTATTATGTAACTGCATATTTTTTTATAAACAAACATTATTTAAAGAAACAATCGAACTTAATGAATACATATGAAATATGATTACACAAAACGAATTTAATGAATTAGAAATTAAATATTCATTAGGCTTTTATTATAGTTTGGCATTATTATAAACAGTAGATTAACTTATTGACTGGCGATTATATCTTTATTTTTTTCCTTTATTCATTTGACTACATTAGATATATCAAATGGTCCATCAGGGTGCTTGGTACCTGTATGGTTACGCCACAGGATTGATCTGTACTATTCAGATTGTAGCGTTAAAGCCTATACGGTGTCTGGTTCTTCTGTGAAGCGCGACTGAGCTGTACTGCTCGGGTTACAAAATTTAAGCTCGGGTGGCGCCTGGCTCTCCTGTTAAACGGAATGGAGCTCTACTCTTCAGGTTGTCACGTGAAAGTCTGGATGGTGTCTGCTGTAGGTGGTGTCCTGAAAACTGATGTAAAATTACCCTGGTCCACAAGAGTAAATTTTATAACTAACTAACTATGATATAAAAAAGCCACATTGAATAATTTAAAACTTGATTTTGTTTCATTTCTTTTTGTTTTTGTTGTTTTATTTCTGAAGATAATGGAAATAGGTTGTAAAACATGGTACAGTTACTTGCTTTCATTCAATTTCATAAAACTAAATGTGACTTGATTTCGTTTCAGCTTGAGTTATTTAGTCTTAAATTCAAAATAATAACCACCAAATTACTTAATCAATCTTTAATTACAGTCTTGAATAATTTTATTGAAAGGCTGTGTTACTATTGTTTTAATTGAGACTGTTCTCTTTTTAGAAAGATCAAACTACTTCACATAGACATATTTGTGATTCTTAACAGAAGGGGTTTTGTGGAGATTTTAGTAATTTCA